AACTTCACCTGTTTATCAATCTTCATTTAGAATCGTATTTTGATTACAATGATTCACCGTTGCTTTCAGTTTAATATAGCAACTAAATTATAGGTACTGAAGAACTATACGCCTTTCCAATACAGGATTAACTTAACGAATTAATGTGAAACAATTATGATATAATCTTTGAACGCGCATTTACGATTATCTACTACAACGGTGGTGTTAAGGGAGGGAGAAAGTAAAAAGTGACCAGCCGACGTTTTATAAACAGTTCTCTCCGATTACGATCGGCACAAAATTAACGTTCGTTCATATCGTAACAATTATTGTCCGTAACGCGTACCTATTATATATTTCATTGTTATCATATTTTATTATTACAGTTAGACGTTAAAAACATTACTCTTCCTTTCATCTTCCGCGATGAAATAATAACATAACGATTACTAAATCGCAAACGTGTATTGCGCGATAATTATTTAATTTTATAATTACGCGGGATAAAGCGGTACAGATATAATAATACGAGTATTTCACACACCGCAGATTACGGTTGATAAACACGTATAAAAATTCCTATGACTCGCGTGATTGTGAGTCACAATTTTTTAAATTTTTTCGTAGGATAAATAGTACACACAGTTTACAATAAACATACGGAAATCACAATTATTAATAACCACTACGCGAGACATATTATGTCTCCATTTAGTGCAACAATAATGAAAACGCACAATTTTACTAATTATATGTAATCGTAATTGTCTTATATTATAGATTTTAATTACACGCGCAAGTACATGAATGAAATTATCATGTTAAGAACACAATTGTTATTATTTTTTATCGTGTATCACAAAAACTCACGGCGTTTTAAACATTATTCAATTTAAAATTTAACTTTCGATATTCTGTAGTAATTTTAGTGTTGCGATTGAGTACCTATACCTATATTATTGAATTGTTATTCCGCAGAGATTTTAATTTCAAATTCGATCGATCAGCAATAACTTTTACTGTTTCACAACCATATACTTGTTATTGTCAGTGGCCATTGATGCAACTTGGATTTATTTTCAAAGGGGAGGGAAGGGAGGGTAAAGATAACAAAAAGACGAAAAGACGATATTGCTCACGGGCGGGCCACTGTTGCACGTGTGTTGTTGTTGGGAAGGTAGGTACTCATATAATACACAGAGTAATTCAGTTTATATTCTCTATGCATATAATAAACCATTGAAAACAAAAAAAAACGAATCTGAGCAGAATAATAATATAGTATATTAGTCGTATTGTTCCCCTGTTGCTGACGTAACCTGGAAATCAACAAAAATCAAATAACAAAAAATAGATATAGGACGTGAACTGCTCTACATGTCGATTTTCAAATATAGTACTATGGCGCAGAAATTCCATATCTCTTGAGGTACTGCGTGAAGAAATTGAAACATTTACCGAAACCAAAAGAGTTACATGCATTTCGACACAATTTTCGATTAATGTACTCTCAATGAAAAATACGAATCTTTCCAGATATGACATTACAAAATCGGATCATTTTTACTACCTAATCATAAAAATGTTTTCTGAAAAACAAATCCAGATTATTCATTACATCCAGAATACAAAATTGATTTCGACACATTCTATTTCTTTAAATAATCTAACGGTAAATAATTATGGCTCACATAAAATATTTAAATGAACTGATATAGTTAAAGAATAATATTATCGACATGCATAAAATAATTATTCGTATCTGCATGTATCCATGATGTGCCTCCGATGATAGACCACTGCTGTGGGTGGGAAGTATGGACGGTGTAGAACATCGTTTCTCAACTTTTCTAGTGTCGGGACCCCCAAAATAAGTATAAAATATGGTCAATCACTTCGCGACCCCCCCCCACATATATATTAAGTACACATTTGAACAATATCATAACATTAACTAAACGAAATATACCATTTCGAGTATGAATTTATAAATACCAAGTGTAGTAATTTAAACTTATCACAGGTAAACGTTATATGTCTCGGGTCGTTGGGAATTTCCATTAGCGGTGGAATGCCCGTTTTATTGATGATTTATTGATAGGGTAAGTTAGTTCTTCACGATATACCGAAAGCAACGATATATCATTATATTAACCATTTCAATCAAAAATGATTTCGAGTGGAGCTCTGTAATCTGATAAGGTGTTAGTTCTGCTTTTTTGCCGTGTAATCAAAAAAAAAAAAATAAATAAATAAATATTCATCAATGCGTCGCCATTTTTAGTCAATTGTTTTAAATTGAAAACCCATTTGAAAATCTTTCGGGAATCTAGAAAAATGTCTAAAAGAAAGTATCGAAAATCGAAAAATCCATTCTCCTAATTTACAATATGAGAAATTTGGAGTATTTTTATTGATAAAAAGGCGTTTTCAGAAAGCCAATAAATTCTACAGTAAAAATTATAAGTTAGTCTAGAACACATAACACAAATCTGTTTCTAGTGTTTTAGAAATACTGTTATTTGATCCAAGCAATACAAAATATGATTATGTAAGATTCTTAAAAAAAAAAAAAAAACGAAATTCCAGGGGAGGAAGGGGGTTCATAATGTATATATAATATTATACGGACTAGTTTATAGAAAAAAAAAAAGAAAAGAAATCGTTATAATAATATGTATTATTATTGTGCCCGTTCATACCGCTTATGCCATTAAAACCGTAATAATAATACAAATTTAATTTTTTTTCAGCGATTATAGGTACCCGTAGCTGAGAAATTCACAATTTGCTTACAATTGCTTGGTTTTTTTTTTTCTCATTGAACATTTATTTTGGTAATTTTCATTTCTCAATTTCCGTTGTATTTGATATCCGTTTCCCGGTAAACATTACGTATAGGTACGCCACAAGAAAGATAACAGTACCCGCACGCGGGATATTATATAGCACGCAATGTATGCTCGCAGAAAAAAAAAAAATAAAAAAACCGACGGGAACGTCACCGCCGAAACGAAAACCCGCGACGATTATTAGCGGTTGTCATTTGCCCATCGCCGGGTCGTATCTTATTTGATAACCTGTAAATATTTAATCTGCGCGGCGACTCGGCGAGTCGTTCGTCCGCCGGAAACACGAAAGTTCGCGTCGCATAGGTAAACCGGTGTTGTTTACCGGGTACAACACGCGTAACAGCTACGGCGCTGTTACGTCCGTCCGGCAAGCACGGCCGCGTTTACTACGGTCGCGTCCACGTAACGTTGGCCGTATACGAAATTAGCACCCAATATAATATCGTCGTTGCGTTAGCAACACGCGTATTGGAGTTCGCGGGTTCGCAATGTCCGTCTTGCGCCGCGTGTGCGCGCTCGTGTTTATGCGCACGCTTTCTATGTGGATGCAGACGTGGTCGGTTCGACCGATAAAAAAAACGACGCGACCCGTTCCGTAAACCGGCGTCCGCGTTACGGGTGCGGCGGAAATGGCTCGCGTTACAGTTTTTGTTTTACGAAACAATATTACCCGCGGATGCGTGATGACATTCAAATAAAACGCGTCTGCGCGTCACAGTGATAAGCGACGCGGGTCACGTCACCGTGTTATGACGCGTGTCACCCTAACACGAGCCGTCGGTGACGATTACGATGTTATTCTCTCGTTAGGTTGTGCGTATGGCGGTTGTATTATACGAGACGGCGCCGTAGTATATCTGGATATTTTATTTTGTGTCTGGATCCGGATACTTTCTAAAAAAAAAAAAAAAAAAAAAAATCTGTATCTGTATCTGTATCACAGATACAAAACGTTGCGTATCTTAACGCAAGTATCAAAGATACTTTTTAATATACAACTATTACTATTTTGGTTCAACGATGTACAACAATAAAACGTACAATTTTAAAACCTGATTTTTTTTTTTTTTTAAATAAAAATAACACAAATTTTCCGTCGATATGTATTATTTTCTGATTTCTTTATCGTTATAAATTATGAAACATGAGTTTATGACTATTTTGTATTGAGAAGCGGATAATACCCATTATTTATTTTATATTCACCAATAGTTAATCAATATTTTAATGTTGTTATATATTATGTATTATATAACTTATGCGTTTATAAGAATAAAAAATCATTTTTTTAAAACTGAAAATAAAATATAAATACAAATTATTGTATCATAAATTACGTACCCATTACTTGTTTCGTTATAATATTGTAATTCTATATTTCTAATTAATTAAAAATGTATGAAAAAATTATCTGTTTTCTTAAATGTATCTTAAGATACTAATATCTGTACCTAGTTACTTCCAAATAAAATTTATCTGTATCTGGATACTAATTTAATGTATCTTATTACAGCACTGGTTAAAGAGCCACGTAATTTTATCTACGCGCATTTGAGTCACTGGCCGTATTTCGTATGAAAAAGAAAAAACCGATTCCAGTATATCTGATAATACTATAATATCTACTACATGTTTACCAGGCGTGGCACCTGTACTACCGGTTTTTTTTTTATGATTTTGTTTATTTTTTTTTTTTTTTTTTTTTTTGGTTCGTCCCGACAAAAACGATAATAATAAATTATACCAGTCTATACGGTGTATATAATACAAGTACGAGTACGAAAATAATGTAATGTTGTCTAATAGGATTATAGTGGTTGCGCTACTATCCCGTGGCGTGTGCGCGGGCGGCGACTGTAAGAAGATAATCGAATAATAAGTAATTGTATTGTTATAGTATTCTTCGTGGGCTGTTATAGCTATATCGATAATAAACATTTAAAAAGTCAAAAATATACACGCCGTTGATATGTCCAGTGGTGTTGTACGGCTCAGAAATACTTGGGCTCTCAGTAAAACAGGAACAAACAAAGCTGGAATTTTCCATGGAAAAACATGAAAGATCGCTTCCTCTTATACAATAAAAAATAAAGTTTTTAAAAAATTTACTTCGTTTTATAATACGAAAAATTATATAAAACAAGTGTAGTAGTATGAAAAGGTATGTTCTAACTCAGGANTAGAATTTTCATAATTAATTGACGATTATAAAATTTGATATTACTTTTTTTGTCATGAAAATTGTATTACTTAAAAGCCGAAGTAAGTTCATATATAAAATAAATTAATTTACCCATACTTTTCTTAGCTGTACATTTAGGATTGTATCTATGATACTCATTTAAAATTGAAAGGATACTATTTAGAATTATGCTGATAAAATATATCCTTCCTTTGTAAGAGTACTGACATTATTCAATGTTTATAAATCAACTAAACTAACCCTTTTCAGAATACAAATTTATTGAGAAAAAAAAAAATTCCATACTTCATTATAAAGAAATATATACTTATGGCTATTTTTTGTTCATTCTAAAATAAGTAAGTTCATATATAAAATAAATTAATTTATCCATACTTTTCTTAGCTGTACATTTAGGATTGTATCTATGATCTTCATTTAAAATTGAAAGGATACTATTTAGAATTATATTGATAAAATATTTCCTTCCTTTGTAAGAAGTACTGACATTTTTCAATGTTTATAAATCAACTAAACTAAC